TTACAGACTGATGCTTCAGTACTAAACAATTTGAGCACAAATGTGTTGTGTTCTTTACTTTAAGAACAAATGCAGTGCTTTCTCTGAGGTTTGCAGGGGTGGATTCCCCCCTTGCTGCTTGCTGGGCTGCCATTGCAGGCACACCCGTGGTTCCTGCTGCAGCTCCCACTGGCACTGCTGCTGCATGGGGAGGGAAACCTTGAGCACTGCAATTCCTGGAGCCTTGGAACACAAAGGATGGCTTTATCCCTTATGAGGAGACCTGGAAACAGATAAAGAGTGTTAACATTGAGTTAATAGATGTAGTGCAAATAATCAGGATGTAATAAGAGACAAAATGTCCGAAGCCATAGTGATAGCTCTTTTTTTTTGTCTTTTTTTCCCCCCTCTTCTCTTTGTAGCATAGGGGAGGGGAGGGGATGAAAGAAACATTATCCAAGCCTCCTTTTGCCATCAGCCCCTCCTGAATAAAGACTGAGTGGAAGAACTGCTCTGCAGCAAATGGTGTCAGATTCTGTGCATCAGCCTGAATTCACATTCCCAGTACATTCCTTATTTGTAGGATTCAGCATTTTTGTAACAGCTACACACAAAGGGGAAAGAAAGCAAAAGAACCAAGACATTTAGCCACTGAGGCCTTTTCCTTCCCAGCTAGAGACATAAATAAAGTTGGATAGAAGTGCCTATATGTGAATATAGAATAAGTGCCTCAGTATTGCAGGCTGAGGACCCCTAGGACTGAAAGTTTCTGCAGGACCCGTTTCTCTTTTAATACCGAGCAGCCTTCCTGTGGGAAAAATAGCACAGAGATTATAAAACTGATTGTGTGGTGAAGGGGAGCTCAGGCTCTGGAGTCAGTGCAAATAAGAAAGAGATGGTTGCAGTGTCAGATGATGGTTTAATATGGCACGTGCCATAAATGAGAACTGAGCCTGTAGCAGCTCCAGTCCAAGCACAGCAACTGTTTGGAGCTAGGAAGAATTGCTGAAGTTTAAAATAAATAAAAAAGCATATGTAGAGGTCTCAATCCCCTATGTAGGGAGCAGATAGCAGGTCTAACAGGAATCTGTGTAATCTGGCAGTGCAGGATTAAAGAGAAAGTCACTGAGAAGTGGTGGTTTCCCGTCCTTAGCCTGTTTCATACCCGTGCCCATGGATATCTTCTCTCTGAGTTGTTACAGTTTCAGAGTCTAGAAGATCACTTGCTGCTCCCTGGAGTCCTGAGGTTGTTTCCTGTATAGATCAGACCATTAAGGTATGAGGGTTCCTGCTGTCCTGCCTTGTGTACGCAGCACTGAATCGATGGAAAAGCTATTAGAAGATACTGTGTCACTTTAAGATACTGTGTCACTTTTAGTATATTTTTTTTCTTCTTTCTATCAGGAAATTCAGCACAAGGAGAAATTTCACAGGGCTGGCCTTCCAAGCTGCAGTTTAGCATTTGCTTGGCAGTCACTCACTAAACCCGAGTTAGGCCATTGCCCCAGAGGAAGAGTTCAGGCCTCCCTGCGCTGCCCAGGCCCTGAATTGGCAGCACATCCTGGAGTGTCTGCTGGCATCTGCCCTGCTGTTCCTCAGGAACAGGCTGAGCACACCCTGTGGTGCAGCTCTTTCCCCTCTGCAGCTTTTTCAGATGTCGAGGAGAGTTGTGTGAATCACATCTTGTGCTTTCTTACCTTCCATCACCTCTGGTTTTGGTGACCTCCCTGTGAATAATAATACCTGTTCCATCTGCTTCTTTCAGGCAGTGGTTCAGTGATGCTGAGCTCCAGCACAGCTCCAGTTTTGTGCTGTGCAGCTCCTGGTCCAAACTGTACCTGGCCACACACGGGAGCATCCCCTCACTGTTGTGCAAAGGCTGCTGTGCTCTGTGTCATCTGTCTCATGAAAAACTGGGAGATGGAGCATGTTTCTTGAGGTTTTGAGTTGGGCTGGGTCGTGATCCTGCCCACAGCCTATTGTGAGAGCTTTAGGGGGGCGTCTGGGGGCTCCTGTTGACAAAGCTGTTCTTCCCTCAAAGCACTGCAAAACTTACCTGAAACTCTGGGTTCATTCACAACCTCTGCACTTCTGTAGAACATCAGGGAACCTGGCTGAAGTCTTATCAAAGCTCTTGCAGCAATAGAAGCACAGCTACTGTTCAGGCTCAGGAAGATGGTAAAATGTCTGTTTAGGTTTTTTGTGAAAAGTTTGTGAAAATTAACCATACGTCTAAAATTTCAGTCTGTCTTTCTAAATCATCACCTAAATTTTGCAGAAATTGGTGCTTTCAACCCTGCCTGGCTTTCATTTTACAAGGATCTGTGTCTCTAAGATGTCTTAAAAGGTGTAGTTATACCTTTCAGTTTTAGACTGAGAGAAGATTTAATTTATTTTTAAGGTTCAGAAGGAGAAATCCAAAGGTTAACAGTTGGCTGATGGATCGGATGTTGCTTGGTATGTGTTTCTGCTCTTTATTTTTGAATTTCCTTTTCTCTGCTTCTCCAGGTGTCATCTTGACATGAGAACATTCAATCTTGGCACTGAGGAGTGCAGAAAACTTACTTGTAGGGGTAGAGAAAAGAAGAGTTTCTTTGTGTGTATCAAAATGGTTTGTAAAAGCTCTTCAGATAGCGAGAATTCAGTTCTGTGAGACAATTATCAGAAGTACTTTGTGCAAACATGAAAACCAGCACAAGACACACAGATGATAGTGCAGTTACATTAGTAAAGAGAATGGGAATGTCTGATTAGTAGCACAGGATGGGGAAGGTTTTCAAAGTGGCATTAATCCAGCAATATCCAAGCAATAAACCCTGTACATGCTTGTCTAAGTGCCCTGGTTAGTCCTGAGGGTGTTTGGGCTTTGCTGGGGCACACGTAATGTAGTGAACTTTTAAAGAGACCTCTAGGCACCAGCCCAAACTGAGAAGGGCAGAGGGGAAAATGCTGATGGACAGTCCTACTGAGCTGGAACACAGTGGCTGTGAAGGAAAAGCTGCTGAATGGGCTTGTGGTTGAAAGAAGTAAAGCAACTGCACTTGGACTCACTAATGGGCTTTTTGTCCAAATTGGAGCCATCTCTTTCTTTGGGAAGTTATTTGTGTTGGAAATCAGGCCATAGCCAGGCTGGAGCAGGAAGGAAGAGGCGGATGGTGATCTCAAAAGGGTGTGCTCTGGGAGCAGAATGACAGCTGTGCAAGAAGTAGGTTGGCTGCGAGGGCAATGAACTTGGCAGTGGAGCTCCTTCAGCTCCTTGCACTGCTGAAAATGTGGTGTCCTGCTGGAGCCTTTGGAGCAGAGCTGAGGGAGCCCAGAGGGTGGTCCTGGTGGTGGGGCTCCTTGCCTGAGGAGCCAGCAGCCCTCCTGAGGCCACCTGTCCCCTCCTGCAACCTCTGTGTGCTTCACAGGAATACAGAAATGTGCTCTCAGCAGAGGAGTAGTTGTCAGTTGTCACCCTTTTCCTATTCCCAGCCTAGAAGAGAAGCCATTGACCTTCTCTCCTGTCATTCCTGAGCACTTCCCCAGTCACATCCTGCAATGTTACTGGGTTTGCCTTGCTGAAAGGGATGTTGAAGCAGCAAAGAGGTGTGAGCTTTTTCCCCAGTGATGCAAATGGTCTGTATTGGAGTCAATAAAGAAACCAGAATTTGTGTCTTCCTTCCTGTGACCTTTGAATTGTGTGTTTCCCTATACTGAAAGGTGCCTGTGACACCATTTATGGCTTAACTTGGCTGTTAGATGGAAAAGCAATCTCACTTTCCTGCTCTGATTCATAAGTCCCTAATGACAGGTTACTTGGTAATTCTTGTTTTCAGCAATCTCCGTGCAGTTGTGTTTTGACTGGGACCTGATAGAAACATGAGTGAGAGGAGCTTCAGGCTGAGGCCTGAGAGTGCAGCAATGATACTTTTTATTTGGCTCTTTGAAAACACTTCCCCCACAGCTGTTGTAGGCCTTTTCTAACGTGAGCACATCAGAGGTGATTGTCCTTTGCTTGTTTTTTATTCTGTTTCTCTGCATTTAACTGTGCTTTTTATGGCACCAGTTTTGTTTGTGCTCCATCATTACAGTGATTATTACTACAGGGCATAAAGTATGAAACTCGGATCACAGCCATGTTGTGTAGGAGCAACATAAATGTGCAGTAAAGAGAGTCTCTGTCACAAAGTGTTAGTGGTGTCTGGAGAGATGAGGCAGAGAAGAACAGGCACAATGCAGCAATGTGCTCTCATTGCACAAAAACTCAGCTGTGGAGTCTGGGACAGAGCAGTCCCTCAAACAGGGAGGGACATGTTTGGTTGCAGGACCAGGAAAGATGAGCTCTTATCCCCCTTCTAGAGATTAGTGCCTTTAAAATAAACTGGCCTTGCATGTGACAGAGAAAGTTCAAGCATCCAGTAGTCAAAGGTCATTTTCTGACCCTGATGGGGTCAGAAATTTAAGAAGGACATTCAGAGTCAGTGTAAAAGTCCTCATTGTTTCAAATCTCACTGAACTTAAAGAACGTACATTGCACCCAGAAGTCTCTTCTCCCAGCAGCTGGGGGCAGGTGGGAGGGTTGTTGTCCTTAGCTGGGGGATTCTCCTCTGTTTAAAAGGATTGCTGGATCTGGCACTGGGTGATGTGGTTTAGTGGTGTGGGTTTACAGTGGTAATGCTGGGTTGATGGTTGGACTGATGATCTTAAAGGTCTCTTCCAACCTTTATGATTCTATGAAAATACTGCAAACAAGTAGGAAAAAAATTGCAGTTTCCCATCCAGAAGTGGGTAAGATAGAGCTGTTTTCATCTCAGGTTCCAAATCTCTCCTCACTGCCACTCGAGACCCTTCTCAAGCTGGGAAGTTGGGCAGCCCAGAGAAGGTGAAGATGTTGTGGTGGATTGTCATCCTTTGGCTGGAGGAAGTGTTAAGAGTCCTTTGCTCAGTCAGAGCTCATCTTTGAGCTCCAGAGCACGTAGGTACCTGTTCAGAGCAGAACTGCTGCCTCCCTGACTTTGCTCTCTCCTGTCTCTTCCCAGCTCCTCTATGACAACCCCAAAGCCCGTCAGGAAGTGGAGTATCACTGGCGAGCGTCGGGGTGTCCTCACATCGTCCACGTCCTGGATGTTTATGAGAATATACATCATGGGAAGAGGTGCCTCCTCATTGTCATGGAATGGTATGGACCAGCAGGAGCCCCCCACCAGGCATTGCTCTTGGAGGGGTGGAGGGAGCTGAGGGAGGAATGTGTTGGATTAGGTGGGAGTTAGGGGGGATTTCTTCCAGCAGGAATTTGGCTTACGGGGCAAATCTTTCCTTGTCTTTATGGAACTGGTAAGGAAATGTGTGTCTGCTCCAACCATCTTGTGGGATGGAAGAATGAGGAGCCTTAACCAGAAAATAAATTTTCCTTGTGCTCCATGACAGTTGTCCTCATTAAAGCATTGACTTTAATACAGTCTTGAAAAACATGTCTCTGTAAATACAATGCACTTTGGTTGTGATTGACTTCCAACTTCAGCTGTAAATCCAATGATCCAATATGATCCTTCTTGCTACTATTTTGATTCTTAACTTTTCCTATTCTCTCCTTGATCTCTAATACCACAGTTATTGTCTTCTTCACTGAGGACAAATTAATACTCCTTTTAGGTATCTTTGTTTCTTTCTTTTTTTCTCATCTCCAACCCTTACATAAAATAAGACTATTGTTGGCCTCCCAGTGCCAGTGTGTGTGACTTCCCAGCTGTGTGTGTCCTGTTCCCTCTGACAGGGTACATTAAACTGAAAGCATCAAAATCCCTGGTCTTGTTTTGTTTTCTACTTATTCCATCCCAGAATGGCTTTCTGCATTGATTCAAGTGAGTGTGGTGTTCAGGAAGCATTGGCAGAGGAGGCAGCCTGTAATCTTTGTTATCTGTTCCTGTGGTTCTGTGTGATTATCTGGATGCACAGTCAGGTGTTAATTTTGTGGTTTCTGCTCATGTAAGGTGGGGTTTCTTTTGTGTTCTTTGTTTCAGCATGGAGGGAGGAGAGCTGTTCAGCAGGATCCAGGAGAGAGGAGATCAAGCTTTCACTGAGAGAGGTGAAACATCACAAGTTTAAAATTAAAATTTGTGAAAGATTGCTTCTTCATTTCCCTGTCCCCTTGCTTAGTCTCCTTATAGGAATTTTTCTTTGATTTGATTTTTGGTGGTAATGGTGGTGGTTGTTGTTATTATTCTCTATCCAACTCTGTATTAAAGAGTTATTTTTTAAAAATATGGGAAATTCTTCCTACAAATCTACTCAACTTCTTCATTTCTGAGCCACCACAGCCTCTTGATACTCTGAGCCCTGGTCTCCTGCCAGACCACCTCTGGCACGATGAGCGCAGCTCCTGCTGGGATTTCTCTCTGGCTGTCCCTCAAGCAGCATCCCTGTGCACAGCTATGCTGTTAGGCCACGAGGATAATGAGCAAATCACACTTGAAACATCTCTTATTCAAGGGTTTTAAAGCACTACTTGAAAGGAAGTGTTATTAACCACGCTGTAAACAAACCTGCCTGGCTGCAGAGCAGGGACTACGTGCAAGCTGAAAGACCTGCCGTGAGCAGGGACAGCTTTTAATGGAGTCTCACCATTTTTATTGTCTTTGCTATTTATCATTTGCAGAGTATCACAGGAGTGCTTGACTGTGGCTCTCCTTGCCACCTCACAACAGTCAAGGGCTTGTTTCTGCTCAGGAGTGAAAGCGGCGGTGTTTGTAACCAGGGTCTGACAAAATGATTAGAAGAAGAAAAATACTCACCTGAGCTTGGAAATTACTGTGACTTTTTTTGCAAGTCTGGTGTAGAGGTGCTCAGCTTTTTGATCCTGGGCTTCCTAGCTTGGGATGAATCCTTTAAGTCCCAGGAGAGACTTGTGTAAGGAAAATGAGCATTTTTAGGAACTTTATTTGTTCCTCTCTAAAATACAAAATTCCAGGGGGAAAACTGGTTTCATGAACAATAACGACTGCACTCTACTAAAAACATTATTTTTCTACATTATATAGCATTGTGTAACATTGTAAATACTTTTTCAGAAGTCACTTGGGAGTGTTAAACAAAAAAACACCTTCATTCTTCCCTGAGATAAATGAGCCCTGTTCCACTGGATTCCCCTGGTTTGCTGCCTGTTTATGTAGCCACAGCTTCCCATTAGGAGCCAGGTTTTTTGGCCTGACCAGGAAGGAGAAGATTGTCCAAGGTTTTCCCCAAAGAATATGAGTGTTTCTGCCTTCTGATTGTCCTTGCCCGTGATTGTGTAGTTTCAGTGTCAAGCCATGTGGAAAAGGATTCCCAGTTACACTACAAGAATTTCTCCCTTCTCTCTCAGCCCTGCAGCCGTGGGTTCTGCCCATGCAGAAAGCAGAGGATCAGGTTCAAGTTTCTGTTGTTTCCCTGTCAGTGGAGATGTGATATAATGCTCACATGGGAATGTCCTTGCTCCTTGCTCTGAAACCTGTCCCTATGTAACTGACCCCTTCCAGACTCCCAGAGCACTGCTGTTGCAAGGCAGCTCACACCACTAGAATTTCTCACTGGGTTTATGTTAAATTTTAGAAACGTGTTATTTCAAAGGTGGCACTTTGGGCTTTGTAGAATAGAACTGTTGATTTTGTTTCTCCTGAGAAAAAACTTCTAACAACAGTGAGGAATGAAGATGTGACCTATCCTAAAATTACTATATTGTTACATTGCTCTCTTTTTAGAAAATCTGTTAGATCCTCCTCCTCCCCCTGAACCAGAAGCTGAAAGGACATGTCCTGCACAGTCGGGGATATGTCCTGGCTGGGGCTCGTTTCTCAACAGCTGTTGCTTGTGTACCTGCTCTGCTCTTGCAGCTTTTTTTGGTGAACAAATTAAAGCTCAAATTTAGAGGCTCCTAAAAAGAAGTCTGAGCCTCAGTTGGGTTGCAGTGCAGCTCAGGAGGAGGCTGAGCAGCCGGGGAACCGGGGGCTGGTTGTCTGCAGAACCAAAACACAGCTGCTGGGGCTAATTTTAGGGTTTCTAGTCTTGACGCCTGCCCTGTATCCCAGCAAGCTGTTTGTAAGCCATAAGCATTCCCAAGCATGTCCCTGAGTTAAGGTGGGAATGTTAATGTGACCTTTCTCAACTTGTATTTGTAGAGGCCTCTGAAATCATGCGAGACATCGGAACAGCCATCCAGTACCTGCACTCCATGAACATTGCGCACAGGGACGTCAAGGTGAGCCTGGGCCAGCAGGAGGGAACCTGGGGCACAGAAAGAAATGGGCAGTGCTGGTTTAAACAGAGCTGGGAGCGCAGTCAGATGGCCAGAGTGTTCCTGTTCCTCTGCCAGTGGGAGAAGGGATTTGTTCACTAGTTTGCAAGTAGTCCAAGGTTGGAATATTCATGTGTGCTAATGCCTTGCAGTAGAAGAGGGAATGCAGAAGAATCTCGTGATAGTCAGATGGTTAGTTAAAGAGGTACTAACCATTTGCAAGCCAGTTAATTAGTAAGAAAATAACACTGCTTGAGGTAAACTTATACTACATCTCTCTGTGTACAGTCTTTGCCAGTTACTAATCCTTTTCAGCATCATACTTGCCTAAGAAGAAAAAAAACAACAAACAAACCACAAGAAATCTCAAACCAACCAGACAAAAAACCCAACAATACCAAATACCAAAACCCCCCTTCAGAGATAGGAGAAACTGCCTATATGGGAGGAATAATACAGATTGTGCATCTAACCCACTTTAATGATATATGTAAATATTTGAGAAAACAGAAAGATCTCAGTTGCTGCCACATGGGACACTTTAATTAGCTAAAGTTTCAACCCAGATCTTATTGTAGAGATTTGGCAGTGTTTGTAGTATTGTACTTTATTTTCATTCTGTAAAGTGCACAGCATAAGCAAAGCCAAGCTTGCTGCACCCATTGGGATGGGATGGGATGGGATGGGGAGCAGGTGACATAAAGATAGACTGAGGCATCAGATTGATTCCACAGTTCTGAGTCTGTGAGTTTGCTACAGATATTTCTGTGTGTTTGACTGGAGGGAGAACTGCTATTGCATGTGTCACCAAGGGGCAGGTTTGAGGGTTCTTCAAATAGGAAGCAGAGAATGGCTTAACAGCTCAGAGACTAAAAATCTCTTCACTTTTGCAGAGCCATGTGCCATTGCCTGTCAGCAGCACAGGAACTGAAGCACTTGGCCCCAAACACTCCATACACACACTCTGTGAACTAATGTAGAAATGAGTCAAATAGATCCTAAAGCTTATTTTCTTTAAAGCCTTTCCTCCTTCTGTATGTCCCTAAACACTAGCATGAGCAAGGACATAGCTTCCTTATGACTGAGAAACTGGAAAACAAGTTCAAGTAATTGCAGATTATTTGGAGATGTCCTCTTGTCCCTGTTCTTGTGCACAAGAGTTTGTATTTCCCTCTGTGCCACTTCTGCCTGTATGGAATGTGAAGCAAGGGTGGAACTAACTCAGGTTTCAGGAGACAGAGGACAAGGGGAGCAGGATGTGTGTGTATGAGTTAACTCTGAGGGACTGGTGTCAGCGGCTCATGGAGAGTTTGTTCTCTTGTCCTCCACCTCAGCTAAGTGAGAGCACAGAGTGCTGGGGGATCAGCTGCTGTTGTCAGACAGATCAATCCCAGGAAGCACAGGGAACTGGGAGAGGCTCAGGAAGCCAGATTTGATGCCTATTGGACAAGATGAGAGAGTGTCTTGTGGTTTACCTGGAGGGAACTTTCCATGGGCTTTGGAGGGGATGTGATGGAAGTAAAAAGACCCAAATGTTGATGGTCACTCAGGCAAGCAGGAATGGTTTGACCTGTCAACTCCTTAGATTCATCTCTTCACTGTCTGGTTTATCCCTTCTCTTGGTGACCTTTCAGCCTGAAAATTTGCTTTACACATCCAAGGACAAGGATCCTGTGCTCAAACTCACAGACTTCGGCTTTGCCAAAGAAACCTCTGTAGTGAATGCACTGCAGACCCCCTGTTACACTCCTTACTATGTGGGTGAGTTCTCCAGCATGCATTGCTTGTGTGTCAGTCTGTCATCCATCCCTGTGTAGTGGGTCTGGGCTGTAGGAATGGGTGGGAAATCTTCTGTTGTGGGTGTAACATAAAGTGCCAACCTGCAGGGTTTAAAGTGGGATCCACCCCAAAGCTAGTCTGGTTCCAGCACAGTTCAGTGCTCCTGCTTTCTTGCTTGGTTGTGGAAGAAACAGCCTTCACAGGAGATGCAAATGAGGATCAAGGAGAGAGAAAATATTTCTTCTGATTGCGCTTGAAGCAATCTTGATGTTGCCTCTGAAAGCCATAATTTGAACAGAACTTCGTGATTATTTGGGTGTTTCCTTGCAAAACTTCCCTTGGCTTAAGTAATGCAATAAAAGAGAACAGGGAGAGTATTGCCTGAGCTGTAGAACTTCTTTAGGCTGGAAAATGCAGTAATTAGTAATAAAACACCTACGTGACTTAATCACAGCTGAATTTTCCCTGCATTTTGTCCAAAGACAGAGCTCTGTGTAATGAATGCCACAGCAGACTGTCCTTTATGCACTCCTTTTAGAGTCTTGAGTTAATAGTCATTCATCAAATGGTATGACTGAGACAGTCCATGCTTGGAATTTCTTTGGTGGAAAAAGGACTTAATTTTTTTTGAAAAATTACTTCTCTGATGAAACTTCTTATAGTTGTTTTTTTTATTGAAAGATACTGTTATTCACTGTTACCAGATAATTGCATTATCTTCATTTGGAAGCCTAGCCATGAGATGATTCTTCTTCTGATGCCTTCTATATTTTTGTAACCTGGGTTTAGTGATAAAATGTTAAGGAATTTCCACATATATGATTTTGTGCCTTTACATTTGTATATAAACATGCTGACATTTCCCTTCTCAGCACCTTTTTATAAACCGGCACGATTGCTCATCTGGTTAGTGAATAATTTTCCTTACAAAATCAAGCTCCCTGCCAGTTTACCTGCCTCAGGGGGAGAAAAAATCCACTCTAAATGTGTCTCTCTCTAATTTTGTTACTTAGTGAGTTGCATTTTTTAATGCCTCCTGTATTTGTTGTTGGAGCATGCTGCTAGTTACAGGGTGATGGAGATGAAAGGAAATACCTACTCTGATTTCTGGTTTGAATTTTCTCCAGCCCCAGAAGTCCTTGGTCCTGAGAAGTATGACAAGTCATGTGACATGTGGTCATTGGGTGTCATCACATATATTCTGTAAGTATTTGGGGAGAGTCTCAAAGAACAGAAAGAGGAAACATCTTAAATCTGCACTTACAAGTAATTGGTCACGAGGGTCAGGCAATCTGTGTGAGCTGGAATGGGACTTCTTTAGAGATGAAAGGACTTTCCTAGTTATAGAAATTCTCTTGTCCACTCTTACAGCCTGTGTGGGTTCCCTCCATTCTACTCAAACACTGGTCAAGCCATTTCTCCAGGGATGAAGAGGAGAATTCGGATGGGGCAATACGGGTTTCCCAATCCAGAGTGGGCTGAAGTATCAGAGGAAGGTAACAATGCTCACTGTGCTGCTGGTTGGTGGAGTGCTTACAGAGAGACTGTTTCTGTAAACCTGTCTTAGCTTTTGTTTCCCTTTCTTTTGGAATTTAAATCAATTTTTTGTAAGGTGATACAGAGAACGACTGGGAACTCAGATACCAGCCAGCAACCTCAGTGCTGCAGAAAGTAAATGACTACTGAAAGCTTTCTTTCAAAGTCCAGCTCCTGCTAGTGAATGCTGAGACTAAACCCTCTGGAAACAGAAGTCCTTAATCCTGAGAAAGGAGACAGCCAGGACAGCTGGAATGCAAGCTGAGTTGGAAGAAAAGCAAACTGTCTTAAGAACTCTTTCAGTCTTTGCCCTCCTTGGTGATCCAGCCAGCAAGGATGGCAAGTTTTCATGGTAGCTTTTTGGGATGTGGGAATTTGCCAGCCACCACTTAAATCAAGGTCAACAATTTATTTTGTATAAGTCATTGATCAAAAGCTGCTGGGCTCAAACCAGTGTCCTGAAAGTGGATGTTTTTGATTGCCTCCTATCCTGACAGTCTCATAAGCTGGAAGTCTCACCTGCCCATCATATGAAAGAGAAAGGTCAGCAAGCTCCAGGCTCATCTATTTTTCTTACAAGCCCTTTATATTGCTGTGATCCTGTTCTTGTCTGCTGTTTAGCAATAACAAATTATGGTTGGATAATGCCATGATCTGTGGCATTTTCACCCCTTGTTGGATCTCCTGGCTGCCTGTGCAGCTCAGCCTGCTGAACATTGTTAAGGGAAATGTTTTACTTAAGAGTCTCTGGGTTAATATTTTCTCTGCTTTGCGTCTTGTTTATATTCCAGCAGTTATTTACATGCTAGAGGAGCTTGGTGAGAAAACATGCTCTTGGAAAATGTGTAAGGTTTCTGTCTGCTTGCCTGACTGAAGATAGGGGCCCTCTACCCTTGATCCTATTAAGAACATCTAGTTTGTTGTGTTCTTTTAGGCTGATGAGGCACCTTCAACAGTCTGCTGCTTTCTTCCCTGCTTTGTGCTCTTCTTGTCCTTTGCAGCCTCTCAACAAACTAAACTTGTACCTCTGGCAGCTTCTTACAAGCATTTAGTCATCTTGCATTTGATGTTTCTAAAAGAGAACTCTTATTTAGAAGTTCTTCTAGGTTGCTCAGGGAAGTTTTGTGTAAGTCCTTCTAAATAATGTCCTTTGGATGCAGTTTTTCTGGTCTGGCCACCCACATTAATGAAACTCTTGTCTAGACTCTCATCAGCTCATACCTCAGTTACTTAGAACTCCTGCTTTGGCAGATACCACATTCACAGAAAGCTGCTGCAAAGCCTGTTTGGGCAATCCATTTCTTAGACTTTTTTGTCCTTTTAGTGGCCTCTCAGTTGTCAAAGTTTATTGTCCCTTTTTTTCCACAGCCTGTGCTAGTCATTGTCTTCTATCATTTCTCAGAACATCAGCTTATGCATTCATTCAGCTCATAGTGCCAAACTTGTTGCCATCTTTCAGACAAGCAGCTTTCTGTTCCTATGTTTCTCTTTTCCTCAAGTTCCTGCTCCCAAAGCAGCTGCTCTGGTGATGTAGAGAGTGGAGCTGGAATCCCCAGGCCTTTTCTTTCCTTCTTACCTCTTGTCTTGGGTGTTTCCCTGTTCTGCCTCTTTAAACATAGTAACCTACCACTCTGTACATGGCTTCTTAACACGGTGACAGCAAGAGGGGTAGGTGTTTTGAGTTCTGCAGAATCATGTTTCTTCATTCAGCAGGTCTTTGTGTTCTCAAGGGTATTTGGGAGCACAGTCCCAGGCTTCAACAATCCATGTTGGTCCTGTTTTTCAGCCAAACAACTGATTCGCCATTTACTGAAGACTGACCCCACAGAGAGGATGACAGTGTCCCAGTTTATGAATCACCCTTGGATTAATGTGAGTTTCATTTCTCTTTTTACACCATGAATTAATTCTTACATGCAGAACTTATATGTAGCTCCACGTAGCACAGCAAGACAAGGACTGTTATTACTGTTGATACCTTAATTAACCTCTTGTGCCCTCCCCTGCCTATAAAACCACAATTCTTCTTGGTGTTCCCAGAGGATACACAAGGAGAGACACCCACAGCAGTGTCCTTGGAAGCAACAGCCCAATATGTCTCTATTCTGTGAGCAGGCAGTCACTGTTGACTCTGCAGCATATGCATGTGTTACTCCCTGTAAAAACATAAAAATAAACTGTATGTGCTTACTTCATCAGGGCAGGATTTAAACAGAGCTATTATTAGTGGCCTCAGGCACCATTGTGCATAGCTTTGTTAGTGTGAACACAGTGCTGTGCTTAGTGGGAATTCTCACCCTTGGCACAGCTTGGAAATGCCTGAGGGAGGAGTGAGGGTCTCAGGTTATTGCCCATGAGAGATTGCCAGGTAGGGTGGTACACAGAGCTGTTAATGGTCCCAGCTCAGATTTCCTTCTATGACTTGGTTGAATTCACTTTTCCCTAAAAAGCAGTTTTGGGGAAAAAGGAGAAATGTACTCTAATAATACAGTATTGATTATTTCAAATAAGAGACAAGAATCCCAGGAGCTACAAGACTGAGTTTCATGATATCATCTCTGCTCTGTAGGTGTCCCTCAAAATAGTAGATTATACTTCTCACATTTGTGCCTAAAAAGACACCAGTCTTGTTCTTGCTGCCCAAAAAATTGTCAGCCAGGCACAGAACCACTTGTTCTGTATAATGCCCTTTTCTCTCTGACTATGCTGATCCTCACAGGCCAGGGCAGAAGCAGAGCTGTGGCTGATAGTGCCCATTCCTGGAATGGCTGCTGCAAGGTCTGGGAGCCCTTGGAATCACAAGAAATGTACCTGTATGACATCCTGATGAAGGAGAGAGATGGCATCACTTAAGAGTTATAAAAGCTGAGAAATTGAGGTTGCAAAGACTCTGGAGAACTAGAACAGGCCCTAGACAATGTTTGTAAGTCTTTTTTAACCAAATAAAAATGGAATCATTGGTCAGAATACATTATATACCTCCAGCTTTAAGTGTTTGAAGGCCCAATAAGGAGGTGTTTCAGAAGTCAGCAGGCCAGGAATTTCGTGGAGTGAGTGCCTAATAGCTGAGGGAGCTGCCACCTACAGTGACACATGTTACTCTGAATATGCACAGAGCCAGTTAATCAGGAGGGATTAGAGACAAGGTCTGGGGAGTGCTGCACCAGAGCCCTGCTCAAACACTGTCCTCTGAAAAATGCTGCAAGTTGGCTTTTTTTCTGCTGAACATCTTGTAACCATGAGGCAGGGGGAGGGAGAGAGAAAGACCAATATAGTGAATGTCTCTGTTCTCCCTTTTCCTAAATCCCAAAGTGGGAACATGTATGGGGAAGTGCCTTGCACAAGCAGTAGAGGAGGATGCTTTGTGTCTTCTTTTTTCATTCCCCCTCTTTTTTTTTTTAGTTGCCAGTTTAGGTGGAGCACAGAATCCTCCAGTTACTTGTGGATAAGATTTTTTTAACAAGCAGCAGCTCACAGCAGATAGGAGAGCACCTTCAGCAGGGACAGGGACATCACTAAAGCCAGGCTGTTTTCCATTTCTCCTGTCCCAGCTGTACTTGATAAAACTATACCCTGGCCAGACATGGATGCAGGAGTCAGGATTTCTGCCTCCTTCTGGAACTGCAGCAGTGCTTCCAATGTAAGCCTTGTTTTACAGGGATCTCCTCTTCCTGACAATGCAGCTCTGTCTGGTGGAGGATGCCACAGCAGTAGACAGCAAGTTTGGGTAGAAAGCCTAAAAAGATAGAAGATCCAAATGAAATTATAGTTTGGGTTACGGACTGACAAGAAATGCCACGATTCTTGCTGAGTTAGCTAAGGAACTGTGCTTTGTGCTTTAGAAATTGTGCCTTATTCTAATATAAAGTACCTACTGATTTCATGGCAGCTGAGCACTGATGCCAGTTTTCTGTGGAGCAGCACCTCAGGTGGGGCACTGTCTGCTGAGCTGTGCCTTGCCCTGAGCAATGGTATCATTTCCTCTTTGGGGCACACTTAATGACCTGATAAAGTGGTCATCTCACTTAATGGATGTGGACAAGGAAATGTCTTCTACAGCAAATCCTAGGAGATAAAAGGTCAAATTAACCTCTTAAAGACATTGACTAATGAATACTGAAATGACAGTTAAAATCTAAAATGTACATGGAAATTTATCCAATACCAGGTCACTGGTTGGACTGGAAGGGAGCAGAGGGAAAGAAATTCAGCACTAATTTCTCTCTCCTTTTGTTCTTTAAAGATACTGTTGTATAAGGGCTGTAGTCCTTTTCTACCACACACAGGAGTTCACTTGTGGAGTGATTGGAAGCAGGAATAACAAGGGCCATCAGAGGACATTAGATCAAGTTTTGTGCCCTTCATACACATAGAAGAGCAAGCAGTCACTTCCCAAATGTTACTTTTCAGAACTTCTCTTGGTATTTTTCCCTTTTCTCAGAGATCAATGTCAGTGCCACCAACTCCTCTTCATACTGCCCGGGTCCTGCAAGAGGATAAAGACCACTGGGATGAAGTTAAAGTGAGTCAATCCTAGTTCAGTTTTCTTTAAGTCAAGTCTGAGATTAGATGAGCTGTCTTTTCTGTATATGTGCATTTCCTTGGAGACTGAAACTCTTTTGAATACAATCATGTCAAACAAGGGAAGCATAAACGTTCTTGTTTAGAACAGTAGTGTATATGATAACTGTTTAAAAAAAATGGATGCTATATGAGCTTCATCTGGCAGCCTTACAGCTGCACCAAATATCAACAGAGGTGGTGTTTATGATCAAAGGCATTAATGATGCTGCCTGCTGAGCCACTGCATGGAACCACAGAGGAGAGGGACAGTGCTGAGGGAGTCTGAAGTTCATTACAGTGAAGCGAATAATATGATGAAAATATAGGGGGGCAGGATGGGAGGGCTGAGGTGCATTCTGCTTTTCTGCTCTGTTCCTGTATTGTAAAACAATATTAAATAACCTTAGCCTTGTCTTGCTATGACATCTGGGGGCTGGAGAAGAGGGAATAAAAATATTGTCTGTCTTTTCCTTAATCTAACCAGGTGCTTCACCTACTATTTGTACTGATGACAATTGAATGCTTCCTGCAAACTGAAACTATAGGGCAGACTAAAAGTCTTAACTCTTTCCTGCTGGCCTTGATCAGGTTGGCATGCTTTTACAATTCATTCTGAATTTTCTGCACTTACAATGCGTGGCATTTTGACAATTGCAACATTACTGGAGTGTGTTTTATTGATTACTGATTTTATTTAAATCACTGATGTGTAGTCTCAGCTGTTGAGCTGTGTAATGGCAAAATTTCTTAAGACCTAGACAACATTTGCCTCCTGAGTCAGGGATCAAGCAGATATTTTCACTGAGCCTTCTTCTTTTCCATGTTTCTGAGAACTTCTTGTGCTTGTGCATTGTGCAGGTCCCAGAGATGCTCCCTTGAGCTCCTGACATTCCCATTGTATTTGTTTTTCCTTTCCTGAACTAAATGCTTAGGCATTCATTTATTTAGGAGATTTTTCACGGAGTCACAGAATATGCTGAGTTGAAAGGGACCCATGAGGATCATTGAATCCAACCCTTAGCCCTGCACAGACACCCCAACAATCCCACCCTGTCCCTGAGAGTGTTGTCCAAATGCTCCTTGAACTCAGACAGGTTTGGTGCTGTGACCACTGCCCTGGGGAGCCTGTTCCAGTGCCTGGCCACCCTCTGGGGGAAAAAACCTTATCCTGATATCCAACCTAACCCTCCCCTGACACAGCTCCAGCCATTCCCATAGGTCCTGTCACTGGTTACAAGAGTGAAGAGATCAATACTTGCCCCTGTTTTTGTTCACAACCTTATTAAAAATTTTAAAATGTGCCTGCACTTAGGCATTAATTCAAAGTAAGGAGGTGTGTGAATTTGAAGCACAGACTTTTAACTAAACATCTTTGTGTGGGCTCGTTATTCCAGCCCTGCTGTCCTAGTTTGGTGGTGGAGCTGGAGAGCCGTGTCCTAAGTGTCCTGTGAGAAGCTGGTGAAGGCCCAGAGCCAGTGAGGAATGCTGGGCATAAGGACATGGTGGAATTTAGGCCAGGGGAGTGTGGTCCTGCATGCTCACATGTGACATGCTGTGTGAATAGCTCCTCATGAGTAGAACAAAGCCTTTAGTCATCGTCCAGTGCAGCAGAAAGGGCTCAGCTCTTTGTGGCTGTGGTGTGACAGAGGGTTCCTTCTCTACATTCGTCTCCTGGCAGTAAGTGTGGGGTGGCCATGCCCTCACTGCTTCAAGAGGTTCAATAAATTGCTTCCTTGGTTTCAGGAGGAGATGACCAGTGCTTTGGCTACCATGAGGGTGGACTATGATCAGGTGAAAATCAAGGACTTGAAAACGTCCAACAACCGCCTCCTGAACAAGCGCCGCAAGAAGCAGAAGCAGGCAGGCACCTCTTCTGCAGCCCCAGGGTGCAATAACCAATGAGCACAGAAGCCAAGGACCTGTGGGTGGAGGGGAAAAGTTACACAGAGCAATTTAAAAACCTATGATCACCTCAGTCCATACCACAAAGGCAAGGAGATGGTGAAGAAGCCGTCCTGCAAAGAGGGAGCAGTGGGAAAGATTGCTTTTTTATTACTTGAATCAGGGCTTTGCTTTTAAAGACTAATGTATATGACGTGATTCTGTTGCATATTGCTAGGGAAGGTTCAACAGTGCCAGAAATGTTACAGGGTTTTGGTTTGGCTTTGACTATGTGGGATAAGAGGAGGGAACAGGAGGCAGCCTCAGCATACTAATGCACTGAGGCTTTAACAGCCATTTACAAGAGTAAATTCTGCTGCTGTTTTAAACTTGGGAATAGAAGAATGCCAAGTGTTCTACCAGGAGTGTTTTAGTAGTTTAGTAGAATTGGTAGTAGTCCATATTTCCAAACTTACCTCCTGTAGTTACAGAATATCATCTGAACAGTAAACAGTTATTCTTGTTACAGGAAAAAGCATCCATGCATTTCCATTTTCATAAAGCCTTCATGTAGCCTCATGTGAAGACTTGAGTTTGTCATGGATTTGTGTTTGATGACATGTAAGTTTTCTGGATTGTAACCACTGTGTTGTGTCTTTGCCACTGTCAAACTCCTCTCCTGTAATGTTTTGAATTTAACTGGTACAATATGTGAAGAGTTTTAATAAGGATTTAAGCAGCTGAAAGTATCCTGCAGAGAGTATTGCTGTTCCTCTTGAATCCACAACCTCCAGGGCGTGCAGCTGGACATGCAATTGTATACAAGAGACTGCTCTAGAGGAAGGACTCCTGAAATTCAGGAAGAAGTGCCAAATGCATGTTCTCTGAATGGACCCTACCAGCATCCCTTCTGGTAATTATCTCCAGATCCTGTGCCTAAGATGTGCTGATCACAGCAAGTTTTGGGGTGCTGGGGTTGGTTTGTTTCCTGGGGTCAGGAACTTTATTTGCTGTGTTTTGGTGGTGTTTCAGGATCCAAAGGTTTTCACCACTTAAGGGAGATTACCAATAAGTACATCTACCTGTTGGTTTTTTTCCTATTCTAATTATTTTTTTTTATGGGAACCTGGCCTTGGTTTGCTGATATGTTTTATTTTGTGATCAAAATATTTCCTCTCGCTGTATTTTGAGTTTTGATTTTGTTTTTTTAGTTGAGGTGAGGCAAATATTTATGGAAGTGTTATCAGAGTCTAGGATGTAAATGATGTGCTTCCAGTGATGCAGGCAAAAAGGACTTTGTGGTAGGCACACAGTGCTGGTGTGTTAACAGGCTTGGAAGAATGTTAAAAGACAAAAAGGAAAACAAGGCTCCAGAGTGGATCTGAATTGTCCAATCTGAGTGACACAGCAAAGCTCAGCTCGAGGCTTTGGACTTTGTCTGGGGAACCCAGTTCAGAGTGTTGGATGAGAGCTCCATTCTTCTTTGTGCACTGGTCCTAGGGTTTTGTAACGTGATTTATTAAAATCAGTTTCTAACATTCCTTCCTCCTGTCATCCCTGTTTCTGTTGAGGTATGGCAGAGTTTGTATTGCTTTGTGAGGTACATTTGTGTTGGAGGTGATGGGAAAGGGGAGAAGGAAAGTGTTCTATGATGTTCACATTCAAAGACTGCCCAACTTTGAGCATTTTATAAGATTACAGGGGTTTGGTTTTAAATATTTGCCTCTATAAAGCCATATTTTAAAATTATTTCATGTTTATTTGGTATATCTATGATTGTGGCATGTCCTGTATGTATTTGTTTTGCCATAACTCCTGTGAATTATGCAAATATTATTCACTACCTGCAAATGAATACAATGAATGAAGAGTTGTGATGTGTCAGGTGCCAGAGTTGGGATTAGAGCCAAGTTCCTGTCCCTTTATCCAAATGTTTTGAGGGAGCTATATATACGTCATTGCTGCCTTCCCATCTCTGTGCCCCATCTGGGTGAGGGATTCTCCCAGGGCAGCCCGTGTGTGGTGTGGTGATGCCCTGGCTGCCCTGGGGGCAGTGCCATTAGAACTGTTGTAACTCACCTTTTTGCTCCTGCCTTGCCCAAGGGTTGAGCAGGAGCTCTCGGTTTCCAGCTGGTGCCTTTTTGCTTGTCAGTTCAGTTTGGAGCTCGCAGACATGTGTCTGTTCCTGGGTAGTTTTCCACTGGGAACTGTTAAAACTTGCTGTTGGATTCCAGTCTTTACAGCAGGTCAGGAGCTGGAGTGATGAACCGAGGCTCTTGGCACAGCACCTGCAGCTCTCTGTCCCTGTGTGGCAGGACATTCCCATCTCATTAAACCAGGACTAACAAACAGTTCTTGCCTCCTACCCTGCAGTGACAGCACCCAGGAACGCTGTGAAGCCCGGCAGGAACCAGAGCAGGGCCTCAAAATGGCAGACATGGAAGTGTGTGCCAGTATTGGATGGAAGAGTTTGAGCTCATGGTTTATAGGGACGGAGGACACTCTTTGGGAGCTGGGAAACAGCTGCCCTGCGATGTTCAGACCCTCAAACTGCTGTCCTGCTCAGGGCAGGAGCACTGGTTGTGTTTTAACCAGCTCTGTGTTAGCTGGAGCTGCCAGGGGCCGGGTTTGGAGTGCAGGTGTTCCTGGCAGGGTCTGTGTGCCTGTACAGGGATGTGCAGACAGCCTATGGCCACGTGTGCCTGTATAGGGATGTAGGGATGTCCGGACCGCCTATGGCCACGTGTGCCTGTATAGGGCTGTAGGGATGTCCGGACTGCCTGTGGCCACGGCTCCGCTCCACACCCCGGCCCCGCCGCGCCACCTGCCGCCCACGGCTTCCCCAGAGCTGCCGGCTCCCGACCCTGCCATCAGTTAACCCGAACCCTCCTCCGGGAGCCCGCGCTGGGATCCGCGGGTGGCTCTGCCGAAGGTGTTCCCTCCCCGGCTGGCAACTCGGCTCCGGGAAGGACCCGCCGCCTGGCTGCTTTCACACGCCTGAGAAAGAACGAGCGGTGGTATTTGGGTCTTGCCTCTTCCCCCAGCCATATCGTATAATAGGCTTTTTAGAGCCTGCTGCTTAGGATCCAAATTTATGGCCTGTTTTTAGAAAGGATGGGCTATTATAGAACTGATTATGCGTTTGCATATTCATCAGCCATATAGAGGAGGTAAAGAGCTGGGAAGGGAAAGAAGAAATGAATGGTCAATAGAGAAGGCTTCGAGGAGAACACAGATTAAAAGGTCTATTTATTTTTTACAGCAGAAGCTAAAAAAAGGACTGTGCACAAATCCCCACCCCCCATTCCTTTTCACAGCGATTGCTCATGGGCCACTGCCTCCCCTTGTGTTCCTCTGCACTGTGCTCCTCACACATGGTTCTTGCACATTCACTCACCAGTGCTCTGCTCTGATCCACACACACGTGTGTGCATGAGCCCGGGGAAAAACCCCTCCCTCACTTCCCCAGTTTTTTGTACTCCGTGCCTTCTTTCCTCTTCGACCACACGTGCCACATGATGGACCTGTTTTTGACATGGTACAATTAAAAACTCACATTAATGATAAGCTCTTGGCCTAATTCTGTGGTTTTCTATTTGTCAAAACCCAGCATGCAGTCCTGGGATTGCTCTTCTGTCTTAACACTTCACTGCCTAGTCTGGAGGCCCAATTACGTAAGTGCTTCTGACTTGTCTGACATGAGGGATAATGAGAATGCTACACACTCAGTTTGATCTAATTTCCCTGCCCTCTTTTCAATTCACACTTTATTTGGCCCATGTTTAGACAAAGGTGCTTTTGAGAAAAGGAAGGTTTAGTGAGGAGAGAACCAGAGGTTTTAATTACTGGCACAGAATCCTGAGCACATGCACTGTTTTCAACCTGTGGCAGAGGTGGGGAAGGGATGTTCTTGTGTGCCCAGCTGCTCTGATGTGTTCTCATGCTCAGCCTAAGGATGGAGCCAGCTCAGCTGGGCTTAACAGCAGGAAACTTGTCCTTCAGGATGCTCCCCAGCTCGTTCACCAGTGCCCTTTCACTGACAAACCCCAGGGACGAAGGCAGGCAGGGAATGCATTTACATGCAGAACCCCTTTCTTCCAGAAGTACATATTTTCGGGATTTTTTCGTGGAAATATCAGAATTCTCTTTTTTCTAGGTTCCAGTATTTCTCCCCTTCACCCAACTGTTCTAACAGTGGAGCTGGCATAGCTGGGAATTAACATAATTAATTCTCTTTTAGAAATCCTAAAAGGGATGAAGACAAGGAAGCAAACCTGGGAGACAGAGAACACATAGTCAAAGCCTCAGAGAAAAAAAAAATACTGTTAAAAATTCCTGCAAGCCAACAGGCAAGTTTGCTTCAGGTATATAGTTAAATGTATCTCACATGTGGAAAATTGAGGTTAGAGCAATCCTAGGTAATAACATTTGCTGAAGAAATGTTTCCCTGAAATCTTTGCACCAGGTAAGAAAATTCTTTTTGGGTATTAAGTCCAGCTTTAAAATAGGATTATTTTTTTTCAATCTGCGTGGTTAGAAGAATTTATTGGAGCAAAGGGAGCACAAATGGGGGATGGTATGTCATGTTGAAGAATAAGATATGTCTGCTGATGTATTCTACTCCAACTTATGTTTTTACTGCAAGTATTAGCTCTGTACAGACAAAGCAGGATAGGTTCAATTCTTTATTAGTCTCTTCTACCACTGGAGAGGGAGGATGTTCTTGCACTCTGGGGAAATGTGGAAGATAACTCTGTGACTGTAGATGAGCATCTATTCTGGTAAATCTGTAAATGATGCCTAGCATTACATTTATTTCAGAATTTCCTGCCTCATGAATCTGCCAGCTGCCAGGGTCTAACTGTGTGAAGGCACAGAGGCCTCACTGGCAGTGCGCTTCCTTCTGCTGTTTGGGACCACGAAAAGAAGCATTTCTGAAATGTACTGCAGTGGTTTTAGTTTCCAGGAGCCAAAAGAGGAAAAGAGCTTTTATCTGAGGAGGTGCCTGAAGGTAGTATGAAGGTATCTTGACCTTTCTTTAGTTCAGCTCCCAGACCTGATAAGAACCATGTTTTAGCTGTGTGAGGCTGCAGGCCCAGCTTACTGGAGATGTCTCTGCTGCTTTCACACCATGCTGGGGCCTTTCCCACTTTTTGGCATTCTGGGTCCTGGGACCACGGTAAAGCTGAATAATTCAAAAAAGGAGGAGTTGCCTTGTTTTCTTCCATGTTAGGCTTCTAAATTTGTCTGTTGAGTTTTCCTGCATTGGTTATGTCACGGTATCACTGGTGTAAAAAATGTTTCTTCGTTTGTTAACAGTGAGCATAAATGCTTCTTTTGGGGAGTGTATTTCTTTGTCTTAATTTCAAAAATGGAATAAAACCCTTTAATGGCATGGTTATTTTGCTTAATACTGTTCTCCCCAAACTTCCAGGCTAATCCATTTGGGAAACATGGAAGATGTTCTCAGGAGACTTCTTATTGCTTAGCTACTGAAACACCTGCTAAAACCGAGCTCTTTTAAAAGCTGAAAATTATTTAAATGTGAAAAAGAGTGGGTTGATCTGGAAAAGAAACTTCTCAAAAGACTAAAATTAGAATGGAATGTGTTAGAAGAGAAATACTGGAGGGGGGACGAGGACTATGATTTTTAAAATAAAAATACCGTTGCTTGAGTAATGATCAAGGAAATTCTGGTTATGATATTAGCTGCTGCTCCAACCCAGAGCAGCCTCTGAATTCAGAAATAATTATGTTTCCCTAAAGATAGATATACAATACAGACTCCAGTTTTTTTTTCTGAGGTAGTCTAAAGCAAGGTTCAGCTTGATGTTTATAAATGAAACTTCTGAGTATCTGCTGTTAGTAAACCAAATAAATAGCTCTTGGGGTTCTTTTAGAACAACTAATAAGTGAACAAATACACTTTGCAGATTAAGTTCTGCTCTCCTAAAGTTGCCTGGCTGAGCTCTTTCTGCTTGCAGAAACCTTGTCAAGGTGAGGTTACCTTTCATGTTTGCTTTCAGATGTTTTGCATTTCTATCTTGTACTTCATCGCCCTGTATTTGACTTTTGTCTTGAGTAAAAAGCTAATTAGTTGTCTCAAGGCTAACATGCCATGATGCAATGTTGTTGGGGTTTTTTTGGCTCAATTACAGTTGTACCACCTCTTCTTTTATTTCTGAGCTGCCTGTGGTGTAAAGTGTTGGAAGATTTTCAAGGAATCCCACTACCTGGCAGGAAAGAAGAAACTACATTGTCTGTAAAATGGTAAGGAGGAAAGTTCCTTGATGGAAGTAATCAAGGATGGCTAATAGTAGGAAAAATATCCCTCTAAGGATGGGAGAAGGTCTCTACAAAGAAATAAAGCCCACTAGAACTTAATACTTGCAGCTCCTGCACAGGGTTTTTTAAACTTTGCTTTTTCTCAGCTTTATATGGAATAAACACATTTAAATTTCTTAGGAAGTTCTGCTACTTTAAAGTCCTGTTTCCCATGGGATTTAAGCTTTTTTTTTCAATCAGCTCTGTAAAGCACCATG